CAGCATATGCCACCCCTGTTTGCACTTCAATAACACATTAGAGTGGGCAGGATCACCTAGCCAGCATGCTTCAGAAGGACTGTAACCAACAAAGAAAGAGACTGGTAGCTCTTTTATAAGCCTATATGGAAGAAACAAAAAATATGACAAGAGGAAGCAACAAGAAAAAGTCCCCAGCCCCCAACCCTGAGAACATTGATCCAGGAAAGGTAAATACAAAAGAGATTGATGACAGCAAATATGCAGTATCAGACACAGCATTTGGACATAAAGAGATACCTTCAGGCCCTCATAGTCCAGTTCAAAAGTGAAATATTTAACCAAGTAAAGCATGGTATAAGTAGATTAATAAAAGAAATGCTAAGTACTTCTCAAGAAGACACAGACAGAAGAATGGAGGAGCACAAAAAAAGAAGAAAATCATTTGATGAAGAATATAAAGAAAACACAATACATGAAGCAGGTTCAAAGAGATTACCAGGAAATAAAAGCTCCATTGAAAGTTGGCAAAACTACTTGAAATAAACTAAGGATAGATTATACAGACTGGAGGACAGGTTTGCAATGTGGGTTCATGAAAGGAAAAATTTCTTAAAAATAACAAGGAAACAAGCAGTAACAATACAAAGGCTAAAAGATGAGAAGAGGACCTATAACTTAAGAACAAAGAATGTGAATGAAAAAGCAGGGGTACAAACAAAGAAACTACAAAGGCTATTCGCATAAATAATTAAGGAAAACTTCCCAAGCATAGGAAAAGAAAATGATATTCAGATGTATGAGGTGAGCAGAACTCCAGCAGCCTACAACCAAAACAAAGCTACAGCCAAGCATATAATAATCAAGATCCCAGAAATGCAATACAAGAACAGAATATTAAAAGCTTTCAGAGACAAGAAATAGATTAGCTATAAAGGAAAACCCATCAAAATCATGGCAGACTTCTTGACACAGACCATCAAATCAAGAAGAGCTTAGAGCAAAGTATTCCAAGCCCTGAAAGAAAATAACCTCTAGCCCAGAATGATGTATCCTGAAAAACTATCTCTAGAAATTAATTGAGAAACAAGATGCTTCCAAGACAAAAAGGAACTGGGGGAATTTGCAACCACCAATCCAGCTTTACACAGAATTCTGCAGAACATTCTAGAGAGAGAGAGAGAGAGAGAGAGAGAGAGAGAGAGAGAGAGAGAGAGAGAAAGTACTAGGATTCCAGGAACAGTGGCAGAGAGGCCTCAATGAATGGAGCAGAAAGTGGAATGAAGAAGAAAAACAGACAACTAATGGCAGAAAAAGAGCACAACAGAAATGAGGCAGAGAAGGTTGGCTATATAATCTCTAATATAGATGGTCTTGATACACTGAAAAGGAAAAAAAGAGAGAAACACAGGCATAGTAGATCAGGAGGTAGGGTCCACTGAGGTGCTCTTTGAAATATAATTAATCTGAAAAAGGAATATGGACCAAAAGTCAAATATGTGAAAACAATGCTCTATGTGACAGGGAACCAGAGAGAAATAGGGGCAACTAGACCAGTATTTGTGGATAAATTGGAAAGACAGGCTTTAATAGGTAAAGGAATACAACTAGAGATCAAGTCCAGGAGAGAGAAGGTTCAGAACCACTTAGGTAAATAGCAGGCAGCCCCCAATCTAAAAACCAAGGGTGTTGGTGAGACCCAAAAATGCACAGTGTACCCTGGGGGAGTGAAAGGGGAGGAATAGTCTTAAAAAAGACAGCAGATGATATTGTTAATAGTGTATCAGGATTTAAAACCCATATTACTCGCACCGCTCTGCTTAGATTTTATTCTGTCCCAGTTTGTCTATTTGCACTAGATCTGAAGGCACAGACAGCTATCCCAAAAATATCAGGATATAGTACAGTAATCATCTTTAATTTCCTATTAATTAACCTGGAGCTCTGTGTAACTTCTACTGTTTTATAATGACAGATCTTAGTTAAATTTGGTTTCTTTGATTGCTGTTTGGCATTGTCAGATTTTATTCAAAACTGTTATGATTGGTAGTATGAAGTTTGAGAGTATAGGCAACTACACTGAAGATGACAAGATTCACTACGATTCTAGTTTGATTACTACCTGTTTTTGAAGTTTTACACTATCTACAAAGTTGTGTTTTTATCAAAATTGTTATATACTGCTATATTCAAATATATTATATCTGATAATACAGCCAATTCTATTGAAGATAACAAGAGACAACACAGTAACCATGGTAAAACTCCTTGTACAATGGTCTTATATGTCTTTTTCATTTCATGTGTTTATAGGAATATGTTTTGTTTTGTCTCGCTTTGTTTTGTTTCTCCCTCTAATATAGAAAGGATAGAAATACATGTTAAGACTCATGCATGCATAGAACCTAGAAACAGTTTACAAGAACTGAATTTCTAACGCATGATGAAATGAACAAATATGGATAACTGCATGTATTATTAAGTGTGTAGGGTTGATAACCATATTACTAAGTTTTTGATGGATAGTTGAACAGAACTGTTTGCAGTGTTGCCATTTGAATCCCCATTTTATATGTTTCACTTTTGTATCTTGAACAACTATTTGTAAGAGGACAATATGTAAACATCAACTAGTGATTTCTTACTGTTTATTTTTTCTTTAAAAGTATGTATTATTTCTACCCGTTTTCTGTTTTGTGTAGTCTTTCTTTAAATAAAATTTTAAAAATGAGTATGTTGCATGAAAGAAACAAGGTAAAGGAAGAGTACACACAATATGACTCCACCATAATGTATTCAAGAATATACAAATTACTCCATTATAAATGAAAGCAGTTGTATAGAATTTTCTGAGGGCCAGGAGTGATGTGTAGGAGTCTAGAAGAGAAGGAAGAAGCAGGAGAAAAGAAACACAAAGGAGCATAAGAAGTAGCACGTATGTTCATTGTCTGCGTCGTGATGACAACTTCATGGATACACACACTCATCAAACTATCAAACTGTATATTTCAAACATATAAAGCTTACTGTGTATTTCAGTTATATCTCAATAAAGCTGCTTAAGAAAATTATAGAGAAGCTGACTTAAAAAGCTACATTTAGTATAATCTGAACATCAAAAGAAATAATTATAGAAGACGTAAAAATGGAAAGACATCTCATGTTAATGGATTAGAAGGCAATATTGGTTAAATACATTATTCAAAGTAATCTACAGATTCAATGTGAACACCATCAAAATCTCAATGGCATGTTTTATAGAAATAGAAAAAATTCTAAAATTCATGTAGAATGAAAAATACTTTAAATAGCCAAAACTATGTTGAAAAAGAACAAATCAGGAGGCATTATACTTCCTGACTTGAAACTATTATCAGGTTAGGGTTATTTAAATAATATGTTACTATGTATAGGCTTATACATGCTTTGATCTTATCCTAAAGAATTTACAAGGATTCATTTTATTACATGTGATGGTACCAGTGTCAACAGCTACTTAGATGAAAATGAGACATTATAGTAGCCATTGCTGATTTCCTTACATCTTTTTTTGAAGTCCAATAATGCTTTTATTTTTGTTTTGATTGGTTTTAGTCTGTTTTCTATTCTTTGACTGCAATATATGTGAAGAGATGGACAGCTATTTTGAAGAGAACAAGAGATATTATGGTAGCCATTGTTATCCTATTGTCTGGTTTTGAAGACCTGTAATGTTTCCATTCTTTTGTTTTGATAGGTTTTAAACTATCTTGCTTTGTTTGAATTCATTGTTTGTGAAGATATGGACAACTATTTTGAAGAAAACAAGAGACATTATGCTAGCCACTGTTGATTTCCTGTTGTCTCACTTTGAGGTCCTGTGCTGCTTGCACTGTTTTGTTTCAGTCTGCTTTGTTTTGTTTTGTTTTACTTTGTTTTATTTTATTCTCTTTAAAATAAAAATAAATAAATAAATAAAATGTACTGGCAAAAGAACATAAGGACTGGTGACCCAGAAATAAATCCAGACACAAATGGTACCTAATCTTCAATGAGATTGTAGGCATACACAACGGAGAAAGTATAGTGTCTTCAATAAGTGATCCCTATCCCATCACATACACAAAATCAACTCAGAACAAATTAAAAACATAAATGTAAGATTAGTGAATGATAACACAAAAGGGAGGGAGTGACTTCATATCGTTGGTGAGAATGTAATATAGACCAGCCACTCTGGAAGCCAGACTGAGATGTTTTCAGTAAAGCAAAGAAAACCAGACATGTCATCCTAGCTACTACCCTCAGGAAGCTCACTTGAGCCCACAAGTTCAAAAGCAAACTGAACAACATAGTAAGACCCTATCTCAAAAGGGGAAAAAAGGAAACAGTGTTAAATGTAACCCAGCACAGCAATGTCTTGGATGTAGGTATACATCCAAAAGAATTGAAAATGTGTCTGTTCAAAAATGTCTATATAAATCTTCACATCACCGTTGTTCACAGGAGCCAAGAGATGAAACTATTCTTATGCCCATCCATTGGTGAATGAACAAGTCAAATAGAGTATATCCAATGGAACCAGTCATCAAAAGGAATGAACTGATGGTTCACGCTACAATATCACTGAACCCTGAAGCATTACATTTAATGAAAGAAATTAGAAAAGGCCGCCTATTGCACAGTTGTGATCATGTGAAATGTTCAGAGTGAGCACATCCATAGAGATAGAAAGAAGACTAAAGGTTGTCAAGGGCTGGGAGGAGGGGAAATGCTCAGGACTGCCAAAGGGTGTGCAGTTTCTTTGGGGGTGAAGAAGACTTTCTGGAATTACAGTAGTACTCTGTTACCCACTGTTTCACTTTCCATGGTTTCAGTTACCCACAGTCATCTGTGGTCCAAAAAATATGAAAAGGAAAATTCCAGAAATAATTCTGATGTTTTAAATTGTATGCTATTCTGAGCCATATGGTAAAATCTCACACCATCCTGCTGTGTCCAATGGGGACATGAATCATCTCCAGGATCCACACTGTACTCACTGCCTTCCTTCAGTGCCTGAGTCATCTTGGATTTTGGACCGACTGCTGAGGGGTCACAGTGCTTGTGTTCAACTAGCAGCCAAACATTGTGGTGTGATGGGTCCGTCATTCATGTAGCACATAGATATCACAAGGGGGGCACAGCAGGACCCTATTTTGAGTGAGAGAGAGAAACTATATTCACATAACTCTACTAGAGTGTATTGCTATAGTTGTCCTATTTTATTATTAGTTGCTGTTGTTAATCTCTTATAAATTAAATTTTATCATATGTATGTAGAGGTGAAAAGCATAGTATATTGCCACATCTAACACAGCTCTTGAAACTCCAGAGTAGGGATGGTGGAGGATGAGGAGAAATAAGAGTCAAGATGTAGAAAGCTAAGGTCAAGTGGTGCCTCCTGATGAAAGAAAAAGAACTGCTCAAGGACTGCAGTGCATTTATTTATATGCCTGGGAGGTTATTGGCAGTCAAAACCCCTCTGCCTAGCAACCTGTTTGCCTGGCTCACCTTGGCAGCCTCCCATTCTTGTGCTGGAACAACTTGTTCACATGGTTTGCCTAGGGGACTCTGCATGCTTGGGGCTGACCTTGCTTTAGCCCTGCACCTGCACGTGTGATCAGTCTCCAGATTCAGCTGTTGCCAGCAGTATGTAAAAAGTTTGGGAATATACGATTTGGCACTAAAATAATAATAAGAAGAAGATTTGGTACTAACCAAGATTCAGGTGTCTGCTGAGTGGCCTTGAAACCTATTTTCTGAGAATAAAATGAGACTGTTTGTTAGAGTTTGGATTTAAAATCTCTCCCAAGTAAGCGGCTGTGGTGTGGCAGGCTTCAGCTGCCGCAGGGGGAGAAGCACAATTGTTTCCTGAGATCCACACCATGTTGGCTGGTTGGTTTCCCAGCCTGCCTTCCTGCTAAGCAATAGTGAGCCTACCAGTGCACGGGCTGAGAGTCAAACATGCCACTTCCCCTGCCCCTCTTTAGCAAATGGGAGCCAGAGATCTGGACATCTCTTGGGAGGCTGACCATATGCAATAAAACAAATAAGGGGGATTTCCTTCTACCATCCTTTTGAAGGCAAATATTTTTACTACTGTTTTGATTTATTTGGATTAATGAATATTAATGGATTAATGAATAAAATGGATTAATAAATATTCTATTCAATATTCTGTTTTGATAAGTTCTATAAGGTTTTGTACTTCAGTTTATTTTGCTATACGTGATTGACAGAAGAATTATTGTGAAAATAATGAGATATACTGTGATACCTATTACTGTTATCCCAGTAACCTGCTGTGAAGTTCTGTACCAATTTCACTACACTGTCTCAATTAGCTTTGTTCTGTTGTATTTTACTACCTTCAAAATAATAAAATAAAATAAAATAAAATCCCTCCCAAAAGGCTCCTGCATTGAAGGCTTGGTCCCCAGTGAAGCTGTGATTAGAGTCATTGGATCACTAGGGCTCTAACTTCATCCATGGATTCATGCAAGCATGAGTTCATCATTGAAAGGACTATTGGGAGGCACTGGAAAATATAGGAGGTAGGGCCTGGTTGGGAGCAGGTCCCTGGAGACATGTCCCCAAAGGGTAAATCATGTTTCCAGGCTCTTCCCCACTTCTGTTTCCCAACCACCACAAAGTGAGCCACTTTGTTCCACCATGTGTTCCCTATGCATCTGCTTCATTCTGGGCCAAGAAGTGATTGTGCCAAGTGTTCTTAAATTCAAACTCCTTAATCTATGAGCAAAAGCAAACATTCCTTCCTTTAAGTTGATCTTCTCAGGTATCTGTCACAGCAACAGAAAGCTGATCAACATCATTTCATGAATAATTACGATGAATAATTGAATATAATTTCATGAATAATTACAATCATGCATATGCTGAAATTTGCTGAATTGCAGTTTAAAAGGGTAGTTTGTGATAAATGAATTCTAGAACAACAAAAAAATTCAGACCCCAAGTCCGACCCTTTGCAACACCATCTTCATTTTAACAAGCTGCTCAGATGAATGAACGCTTATGAAAGTTTGAGAAGCGCTAACTGAGGACACCGATTCTCATGTCTTGCTGCAACGTGAATAACTAGGATGGTTTCCAAAGCACTTCCTGACATGGTTTTCTGTCTGCCTGTGTCTTGTCTGCTAGACTCATCCATAAGCTCCTGGGACATCTATCATGAACTTCATACTTTCTGACAGCTTTCTCTTCTCCTAAGGTAACTCTTGGTTCTCAAAAGTACATAATGCTCAGTATAAGAACGTGGACTCTGAGCCAGGTTGCATTGTTCAAATTCAGCTGTACCAGTGATTGAAGAGCTCGGATAAATCACATAGTCTCGTGGCTCTGTCTAGTGAGGATAATAACAAAACCCACTGCTTAGGATTGCTGAAGGAATAAAATAATACATGTTGGTTGGGATGTAGATCAGTGGCAGAACACTCACCTAGCACACACTGATCCCCAGCACTGCCTAAAAAGAATAAAAAGAATGAAGAAGAAGGGAGGAATACCAATGTGCAACAAGCATTATACACACACACACACACACACACACGTGTATTATTCTACATGTGAGTATTATGTTCATTTGTATTATATTGTATATTATATAATAGCACCCCTGAGGTGCTGCTTTACATTATTTTATATAATTCTCATCATAAACCTAAGAGATAAGAATTCATACAGCAAGTATTTAGCATTTGTTCCTCATGTACCTGGCCCCAATGACAAAGTGAGGTCCGGGGCAATCGAGTGGCCTGCCCATAGTCACGGAGTCACTGTCAGGGAAGCCCGGTCTGACCCTAGAATCCAGGCTTGTAGCCACATGTAAAAGCAAGTGGTCAACTGACTACGAGTGTGTGTGGGAGGGGCCTGAGGACTCCCAGCAGGGGTCTCTGAGCCACATACCCAGTCACCAAGGGGCAGACACACGGGCAGTCTCAGCATAGTGGAGGCTAGTGTGCTGGGGACGGGAGAGTGGACCCATGCTGGGAGGCCCAATCCCATGACCATGACAGCACAGCTTGGATGACTGGCTCATACAAAGTTTATCACAGTCATCTGATTCTGTTTGTCTGCACAGAAGAAACCATAGATCTGTCTTCACCCAGGAACTTTATGCCCTAGAGTTGCACTGGAGAGAGAAATTGAAACAAATCCCAAAATGACAAGAATTTTTCACCCCTTTTTCTTGGAAGGCCCTGCCCTCAATCTAAACTGCCTCACCCTGTCACAAATTCCCCGTGTCCCCTTCCAAAAGCTTGAAAAACAAGAGCCCTCATGGACTCTGACCCAGACCATCACTCAGTGTAATGGTTGATACATGGTATCAACTTGAGAAGTTTAGAAGTTTAACTAAGGAGATCAGCAGGGAGTCGGGGTCCCTACTTTAGAGACATCCTCCTCCTGTGCAAGAGGAGAACAGGGAGACAGTGGGGGTAGGGCAGGTAGCCTGCATATAATATACCAGAGAAAAAGAGGTTTGTTCTCCCTCTCTTTGCTCTTGTTGCTTACTTTGGGGCTTGAAATCCTGATTTTTTCTGGTTGAGGGGTTTTTTTTTTTCAGTATTGGTGATGGAATGTAGGGCTACATTCTCAGATCATTTTTATTTTGAGACAAGGTCTCACTAAGTTGCTAAGGTGCCCAAGTTGGGCTAGCACTTGCAATCATCTTGCCTCAGTTTCCCAGAGTGCTGAGATTACAAGCAGGTATGATGTCTTGTTTTCTTCAAAATAACTTTTCATATCATCACAGACAATAAAATCAAACAACCCAAAATAAAACCATTCCAATTAATGAATGAAAACATTATAAGGCTTCAAAGCAAAATAATGGGAAATCATGTTTACGACATACTTTTATGTATTATTACCATTTCTTACACTAGGGAAACTATTCAGTATTTATACATGTGAGTTTGATTTATTTCGCTTATGAGTATGGTCTCAAGCTGCACCCATTTATTTATAAATATCTCAATGGATTCAGCTATATTTTGAATTAGAAATGTTTTCAGTGGTGGTGAAACAGATCTTCATAAATGCAAATTTTTACCTACAAAATAATAGCATAAGCATGGCCTTCGTAATATATGCATACATAAATATCAGCAGGCTGAACCTGATGACCAGCCCTTTTCAGGTCACCCAGACCTCCTACCGGCCAGTGTTGTGTGCTTTGCTGACTATGGGCAGTCACTGTTGGCTCCTACGAGCCCTTCTCTCTGGTGGCTTCTAGATGCTACGCTCCCTTGATCTCTCTACTGGATTCCAGGCTAGGTAGGAAGACAGTCCAGCTCCAGAGCTGCAAGGGGAGACAGAAACACGGGAAGCAGTTGCCCCTGTCCTGGGAGCAGCCATCTTGTCCTCCCTGCCCCTACTTCCCATCCCTGAGCAGAGCTTGATGGGTTAAATGGGAGAAGATCCAAGCAACTCGTCTCCACCTCTGAGGGCCCGTTGTAGGCAGAGTGGTCACAGATGGGGCTGACTTCTGTCTCTACCTTCCTTCTCAGACCCTCATATTTGTCATTTGTAAAATGACTTCACCTATGTATGGCAGGATTCCATGCTACAAGACAGTGGTTTTTATTCAGGGAAGATTTTGCCCCCTGGCAATAACTTGATAATGTCTGGAGAAGATTTCAGGGTTACAGCATGAATGGGGAAGATGGAGAGATTGCCACTGGCATCTGTGACGAGAGACCAGGGACCCTGCTGCACAGCCTATGGGGTACAGCTCAGAGCTCAGAGATGCTGCTACAAGTCCTGTGGGGTACAGGACAGCTCCTCATGACAAAGAGTTATCTTATCCATGATGTGAGAAGCTATGGGGCTGAGAATCCCTGCTGCGATACATAGAAGTGCTTGGTGCAATGTGGAGGAAATGTTGTTGCTATTATTCTTATACGCAGCTGCTTCCTATCACAGCAATGAATGTGCTATTAGTTTTAGGGAAGAAAATTTATTTGAGTCTGTTGATCTGAGGCACAAGAATGCACTAAAAGGCACAAGTGTTGATGGAAAATGGTGCATGACTACTTACCAGGACAGCCAGGTGAAATGAGAAAGACAGCAGATTGAGCACATACCTCAGCTGAACACTAAGGAGAACTCGCTCACATGCTTTTTACATGCTGCTGTTAATCCTCCTTGAAAACAAGGTGCTTTATGCCCCTTTAGAGAGAAAGAATCCCAAGTTCATACAAGTTACTGTACTTGACTTATACAAATGGTAAATTTATGCTCGTAAGTGATTAAGATAGACTATGAATATGATTTTTTTTCTTAGCTGTGGTGGTATTGAACCCAGGGCCATGCAAGTGTGTTAGCACTGAGCTGCATTCCCAGCCCGTCAAGTAGTGTGACCCCAGTGTCCACAGCATCTCCAGTAGACTGCCAGCCTCAGTAAAACACTTTCCCCCATCTCAAAATAAAAATGATCTGAGAATGTAGCCCTACATTCAATCACCAATACTGAAAAAAAAGAAACCTCAACCAGAAAAAATCAGGATTTAAAGCCCCAAAGTAAGTCTATGTCTTTAGAGAGCTGTCAAAATCCTCAAATCCTTAGAAGCCTCAAATTTAAGACTTACCAGGAAATCTGCAATATGAGGGAAAGGTCATTCCCCATATGACCCTTAACTAGAACCCTTAACTAGAACCAGTGATAAAATACAGCATGGCCGATTCACAGGACAGCATTGTCTGGGGGCCAGGGACCTTCCTGCCAGAGAAGTCACCCCACAGGAAAAGAGGGTCTGCTTGAGCTTGACCTGATAAAGAAGCCTCAGCTGTTGGAGGACAAGGCATGGTTCAGAGCCTCAAACCATGCCCTTTTGAATTCAGAACCAAGCGTATGGCAAGAATGAGGTACAAACACAATCTCTGGAGCCACAAGTCCTCCTCTGGTATCTTCAACACAAGAATGCACAGTTACGAAGTTCCTCTCCACAAGTGCCTTCTATATGGTAGCCTTCTTTAGGCTGCTCTTGGTGAGGGCTACTGCCTTCCCCTCCCTGGAATTTCTAGTTCAGACCTGATATACTCCACATAAGCCAGAAAAGTCAGAGAACAGATTACATTTGCTCTCAAGGAGCTTGTTGAACTGAGAAAGGAGATGCGTAAAAATGTTGGCAATTGTGTTGACAACAGTAAGTCCCTCAAAAAACAACCCAAACCTTCCAAAGATGACTGAACAGCAGGGACGCTTCTAACTTGGGTATAAATGGGACAGTTGCCCTTTGAGAATCACCTCCAGTATTCCAGAGTTCCACATCGACTGTGCAGAGCAAGTTACAGTAGCAAGGTGAATGACAAAGCCGGAGAGATGTGCTCTGGTTCCCAAGCCCCGATCCAGACCCTGAAAGATGAAGGTAAGAATTCTGATAAAACCATCTTCCCTATGAGGGACGTGCCAGCCTGCTGGAAAAGCTGCTGTCACAAAACATGGGTAGAGCATCTTAACAGTTCACTGGTGCCTGTGTAGTCTCAAAGATTTCCTGCAGTATGGCATAGCTTGGACACCTAAGATGATCAGTTCATGGGATTCCTTTCTCCCATCAGAAAACATGTCCTGTCCACTGGACACCCACGTTACTGACAGTGAAGTAACTGGCACATTGAGTGTTAGGACAATATTTTAATTATTTGTAACTTATTGATATTTAAATATGTGAACTTGAGTTCGTTCATATGGGATTGATATTTGTGAATTAATAAAGTGCCTCTTACAATATTATATGTAATGGTTTTGAGATGATAATATAAAAGTCTAGGCAATTTGGAATGCCCTCATTTCTTTGAATGTGTAAGCTTAACTTAGTAAATTGCTAATTTATATACATATTTAAAGAAAAAAACAATAAAATACAGTATAATGGTAAAACACTCATTTTGGCTTTATAAAATCATGAGGTAACTTCTTTTCTAATTGCATGACTGAACTTGAAACTGTGGCGACTCTGTGAGTTTTGAGAAACGTACTGTTCCTTGCCACAACCCAGGACATAAAATAGGTTTAGGACAGCAATTCTTTGCCTAGGTCCACTGCAGATGGCTGTCAAAGCAGAGTTCGTCTGCAGGAAGATCGTCCCTGCTACAATCCATGCACTCCCTGGGTCCCACATGACTTCTGGGACTACTTCACTGCATGAAAATGTTAACTAAAAAATTCCGTTTCTAAAGACTTGGAAGAGATCATTCCTCTGGGGAAAGCAGGACCATATTTACAATGACTATTTCTCTGTAGCTGTTACATCAGCAACTCTTGTTCCCAGTTGGAATAACCTCAGGTAGACAACACGCAGCCTGAGCCCAGAACTTTCCTGTCTGTTCTCTGATTCTTTCTCCATCATTGCCCTGCATTTCCCACAAAAAAAATAACACTATTCTTCCCTCCCTCATTCTGCTTCCAACTTTTTGAGCTTGGTTTATAGTTCATGAGCTACTCAGGTATTTAAGGCTCCCCATAGGCAGGGGACAAAGGCTACATCCTCTGTTGAAGTTGCTGACACCCTCAAAATGGAGCTGACAAAGGACAAAAGAGGCTACAAAGTTATGATACATTAGCACATTGCTATTTTTAACACACATACAGGGATACAAGCAATACGGCCCTGTTTTACCCATAGGTACACATATGTGTGTGTAATCATTAAGAACCAAATTGAGTAAGTGGGAGGAAGCAGATGGATGAAGAAAGGGAAGAGAGGGACCAAAGGGTACAAAGTCTCAGGCTGGAGGAATAGGATTTAGTGACCCATTGTGCTGCATGCTAGTCACAGTTAGTGATAATATAATAAATGCTTCACAATTATTGAACGAATATTTTTTAACGTTCTCACCACACACACACACACACACACACACACACACACACACTGATAAGTTGGTAAGCTAATGGCATTTAGCTTAAGAAAATCTTTCCATGATGAGCACAGAGATCAAAATATTAATTGACGTAGACACGGAGGCACACACCTATAATCCCAGAACTCTGGGAGGCTGAGGTAGAAAGATCACAAATTTAAGACCAGCAATTTAGTGACTTAGTAAGATCCTATTTCAAAATTTTAAAAAAGCTGAGGAAGTCACTCAGTGGGAAGACTCTAGGTAATTCCTAGTGCTGCAAAAAAAAAAATCATATTGTGCCCCATAAATATATATAATTATTTCTTGTCAATTTAATATCTAAATTTAAGACAGTTTGAGAGTTTGAGGTCAAAGGACCTTTTTATCTCGGTTCCGCCCCACTCCTGCTATCCAGCTGGCTCTGTTCACACCTTTGGGTCATTTGCTCTTCCCAGAAAAGTGGTTAAATGTATCTTTAGCACCACTTGATGGAGAAGAAAACTAACGAGTGAGGCTTTGTGTGAACTAAGAGAGCAGGCAGCGTGGCAGAGCAGAGAGCCAGCCCAGCCTTGGCACCCCAAATTCAGTGCTCTTCCCCGGCAGCCTCTCATCACCACTTCCAAATGCTTTACACAGGCCAGCCTACAGGTCCACACGGAGACCCTGTCCCAAAATAGACAAGCAAATAATGGAAATCACCTATGGTCTTTGTCTTCAGAAAGATGCGCATAGCACACTGGCTCATAATAAAGGAGGAAACGTGCGCTGAACTGCATGATACAGGAGTGAAATCAAATGGGACAGACCTCATTTCAATCCAGAACTGTAACTCCTGCAAAGCCAGCAACTCTCTTTTTGTCCTATAAAGTCTATACTATACGATTCTCTGTGTCCTAGGCAATCTAAGGAATTCATTCATCTGGCAAACAGTTAAAATGCTGGCTACATGCTGAACATTGAGTAACAAGGTAAGGACCCTCAGCCAATCCAAGAATTTTCTCTGACCTGAAAGTTCATAACAGAGACAAGAAAGAAGACAGTAGATACTACCATGATACACTGAGCCATCGGGTGGTAATTGAGGATTAATTCCAAAAAGCAAGAGCAGGGAGAAGTCATGCTGGATCTGGGAGGAGCACTTCAAGAAGCCAGTTCATCCTTCTGGTAAGCCGTGCAAACCATGTGGGGCCCAGGAAGAGAGAAGCCAGATCACCCTCCTTGGGAGCGAACTGGCTGGCTCGCAGACTGAGAATCCAGAAAACACACACACACACACACACACACACACACACACACGCACACACACACACAAACACTAGCACATACATAGCAACTAGCCGATTGAAAGGACAGGCTGAATTGATAGCAACTGAGGTACAAAAAGCAACTGAATGCTCGTACTGTTTAACTGACTTGCAGCCTAAGGCCAGTAGTCTGAATATCTGCTAGGAGGATAACATTATGCAATACGGGGGGGCTTTCCTTTGGTCTTGTTTTTTAAATGCAATATTGTTCTCACTGTTTTGTTCCAATTTATTGCTTTGTTAATTCAATGTTCTGTTTTGATTGGTTTTAGTTTGTTTTGTTTTATTTAATTTTACTATGTCCAATAAAATGGAAAAGTATTGTGAAGATGATGGCATGTATTACGTAGTCACTGTAGATTTTCTATTACTGTTTTGAAATTCTGTATCACTTTCACTGCTTTTTGATTGGCTTTACTCTGTTTTGTTGGGTTTTATTCTCTTTAAAATTAAAAAAAATTTTTTTAAAAAGACCAGGTGTGCAACGATAAGAAACTTTAAAAATAAAAAGAATCACTTATACGATGGAGCTCTATGCAAACATTTATAGTTTTATGTCTTCATTTAAAAATATGACCCAATATATGTCAAATGAATGGTACAGACTAAAAATGGCATACAGTGTATGCACTCGACAGCTTTCCATTACTGTAACAATATTGGAAATAAACAACCTGTAAGGAAGAAATGTTTATTTGCCTTGATTTCAGAGGTTTTAGTTCATGGCTGGTTGGCTCTGTTTTTCAAGGATATCTGGCAACACATCACATCATGGCAGGATATCTGTGGTTCAGTAAAGTCATTCTATGGCAAACAGGAAGTGAAAAAAGAGACAGGAAGTAGTTGGAGTCTCCATAGTCCCTCCAGTGGTGCACCCAAAATGACCTCACTTCTTTGCACTAAGCCCATCACTTAAAGGTTCCTCCTCCTCCTCCTAATAGTGCCAAGCTGACCACTAGTCTTTTAACACATTAGCCTTTAGAGAACATTCAACATCCAAACCATAGCAATTTATAATGGAGGTAATCTAGAAATGCACTGAAACAATACTAGAAGTCGTCTCCTAGTGGAAAGATTATACCTGGATTCAATCCCCAGTACAGATAAAAAGAAGAGAGGAAAGAACAAGGCAGGAAGAGAAGGAGGAAGAAAAAGAAAGAAAAAATTACCACCTAAATATTTACTTGTGCCCGTCCCTTTATCTACATTATGTTAGTTTATTTCCAAAGCAACTCAAGTAACATTACATCATAACATTTTCAGGCAAAAGGTTTAGGACTTTTGGGAGGATTGGTGTGAGTTCAAGGCTACATAGTGGGTTCAAAACAGCCAGCCTAGAGTGAGACTCCATTCTAAAAGCAACAAAAACAGGAGGGCAGGAAGAATGAAAGACAAACAAGAGTAAGAGATCCCAAGTTTTATTTTACTAAAGTCTACAAAATTATGTCAAAGTTAGGCAGGTCTCCCAGAAAGCAAGCAAATACTCAGGAGGAAAAAGGTTAGAGCCATGGCCCAGGAACACAGACACAGAAACTTGTCCCAGGGAGTGCCCTCTACGTGCTCCTAGGCATGCTGCAGATGGCCATGGTTAATCTTGATTGTCAGCTGTTTGGCTTGGGACATATCTAGGTGATTAGTAAAGTCCACTTCTGGGTGTGTCTGGGATGTGGCCCTGGGGACTCTGTCTGTTCCCTTCCCCTTCCTCTCTGCTCTTCCCGGTTCACTCTGCTTCCAGCTGCGGTGAATGCCATCCTCTCCTGCCCCAGTCCTGAGCCAGCCAACCGTGGATTAAAATCTCTAAAATCATGAGCCAAAAGAAACCTCTCCTTCTTTAAACTGTTTATGTCCGAACTTTTGTGCCATTAGCGGAAAGTTGACGAAAGGTCTTGGCTGAGTGTCCGTGGATCTCAGTGTCCCTGGAGCTTCCTGGACTGTGGGCTGTCCTGCAAATTCTTTATAAGGGCTCGTTAAATGCCTGTTAGCCTCGGGTCTTGGTTACAGGACAAATCTTAATTTTACCTCTGTGATAAAACAAACAAAAAGTACAATATTTTAAAGAACAGATAAAACGTTCATTTCTATACTATTTCTCCCAACAATATCAAAACCATGAAAACAAAATAATCCCCACTGCAGGCAAAGATGCAGAGAAATCACTCTCAAATGTGCCTCACAAGAGCATGCACTGTTACTCCATGTTGTAAATGAAATCTGGTGATATCTTTTAAAATTAAAACCATACCCTCAGTGTGGAAGGCATGCCTGCAATCTCAGCTACTTGGGAGGCTGATGCAAGAAGATCATGATTTTGAGACCAGCCTGGGCAACTTAGATGCTTAAAATAAGAACGATTTTTGCTATTATTGTTGTTGTTTTGGTACTGGACATCAAACTCACAACCTTGTGCTTACTAGGCAGGTGCTCAGGCTGCTGAGCTAAACCTCTGGCCCTAGATGCTTAAAATGAAATACAGTTGGAATGTAATTCAGTGATAGAGTGCTTGCTTAGCATGCTCAACACTGGATTCCATCCCCAGTACTAAAAAGGAAAAAAATTAAAAGTATATGCTCTCTTTCATTTAACATTTCCACTTCCAGAAACTCAGCCTCCTAAAATAAGAGTGCCATTATATAACAGTATATGTGTAACTCCCGTCCTCAAGGATACCATCTGGAAAAAAGGCATTAGACCCATATCTACCAAAACAAGGATTATTCATCATGTGTTCATTAGGGAAATAAAACAAGTTGTAGAAAAAGGCAATAGAGAGAACAAATGGACAAAATGAAAAGTGAGAAAATATAATCTAAGTGAAAAAAATATATATAAGAAATACTCCCTCATGTGTAAAGTAGACACAGTTATAATACCTGTCTCAGGAGGTTTTTATGAAAATTAAACGAATTAATACATTTCAAAGGCCTGGGACAGATGTGGCACACAGGCAGGCAGTACTGAACATCTTTGTTATTTTTAATTTCTGTCTGTAACCTCACTGCAAAGATGCACATGTTAAAGTGCACAGAGCTATAAATAACAGAAACACACAAAACATTGCCTCAAGTAGAGGATGGGACTGTCCACTCTTCTTGTTGGCAGTTTTCCTCCTCCTTCTCCTGTTTCTCTTCATCCTCCTCCTTCTCTCCTTCCTTCTCCTTTTTCTTTTGAGATAAAACTCACTCTGTAATCCAGGTTTTCCTGGGACTCGCTGTGTAGCCCATGCTGAGCTCACACTTGGGATCCTCCTGTCTCATCCTCCAAGTGCTGCGATGACAGGCGCATGCCACCACACTTGGCTAGGGCTATTTTGTTAACATTACTTTTACCATTATAAGTTGGGGCACACTGGGTAACTTTGTTTCTAAGCTTCCTTTCCTGAGTGCAGCACTATCTCTCTGATAGAGCAAAGAGTAAGCTCTCTTATCCTATTTTAAAAAGTAGCTTCTACTTATTAGTACCAAATAACTGCCACTCGTATTGTATTCCATAGTGTAATTTACCTTAGAACGCTTCTCTCTGACTATAGTGACCATGTATCTAACATCAAGACATTGCATACGACAAAGGGATTTTTGAAAACTACTGCAAAAAGCCATGACACTTAAATCACACTTATTTAAATAAATGACTTCTGCTGAAAAGAATGAACTTACAAGAAATCAGGACTGGGGTGAACAGCCAAGATCGAGCACCGCCATCTGTCTGGACCAAGTCTGCTTGGAGTCACACTCCCCAGTTAGTCTCCATGGAAGCACTCGGTCCCCTGTTCATAATCTTAATGTACTTGAGGACGCCCTTCAGCTGTGTCTTTAGATAGAGTGGACGCATTCGGCTGGCCACAGCCCAGTGTCTTCCAGGAGCCGCCATGGATGTAACACTTGGAAAAAGACCTGCTGGGGACCAGGAGGGATCATTGCCTGGGACTTGGTGCTGTGTGCCTAACGATGTACATCTTTACCTTCGTTTCAGCAGGGGAGCTGAGCCGTGTGCAATGCTCTTTTAAAGGAATTTTTAAATCCTGTAAAGCGCAGCAGAAATTGAAGAGTTAAGAGTATTTAAAATTTGCTAGCGGTAGAAAGGTTAAATTATAAATCTTTGGCAAAGCATAGTTTTCTCTACGTCATTTTCCTCTGGGACTAGATGAGAAACAGCTGGATGTTGGAACAGAGAAACCACTGGAATAGCTCATGTTGGTTAACCGCTCTGCTCCCAGACCTCTGCAGGGCTGATTCTTCATCCGGGTCTCTTCTTGGCTGTCACTTCCTCAAGCATCTTTCTGTGACATTCACACCATGTCCTCCTCTCAGACCTCTCAAGCTCTTTCCCATGCAAAGCATCTGCTTGTGTCCTCTTTTCCCACCCAAATGTAAGTGTGGGGCGAGCCCAGACTTTGGCTGGTCTCTCGCTGTCATGTCCCAGCCCTTGAAACAGCACCGGCATACATTAGGTGCTCAACAAATATGTGCTAAGTGACTTCCACATGATCAAATGACCCTCGTGCTTTTCTACTTCTGTTTTTCTTCCAATGTCTATTTAATAGGCATGGAGTTAGTTTATGATAATCACAACATTTGTTTGAAAAAGAAAACATCAGCCAATCTGATTTCCAACTCCATTTGAAATGCTTAGAAAATCTAATCATGCAGGCTCCCGTGGGTTCTAGAAAATGAGGCCTTTGTCTTCTCATTACCATACTCCTCCCATCCAGTGCACAGCTGTGGCAAACAGCAGATACTCAAGGAGTGGGTAGATCTCTCTTACAAACGGTCTGGGGCTATGTTAGTCATTTCATTCCTTACGACCTGTCTCATCTACTCGCCGCCACAGTCCTTTGAAGTGGGATTCTGAGCTACATTGTACAAGATGAAAACACAGAGGCCTCGTAACTTCCTTAAATAAAATAATAATAATTGGACGCGGTGGCACACACCTGTAATACCAGCACTCAAGAAGCTGAGGCAGGAGGATGGCCGTGAGTTCAAGGCCAGTCTGGGCTACAGAGTGAGTTCAACGGCAGTCTGAACTATACAGTGAGACCTTGTCTCAATAATAACAATAATAATAAATAGTCATCTTGCTAGTAAAACAGCTAGTGTTTGAATTCAGATCTGCCAGATGCCAAATTCACCTAATTGTTACACTTCACAGTCTGCCAAATTTCTATAACACAAAATCACTCAGCAAGTTTTCTTTGTTAAGGGGAATGAGAGAAGGTGGGAGACATTGAAAGAGAGAAAAGGAGGGAGGGACGGAGGAAGAAAGGCATCATCTCTCTGTCACTAGAGAAGCAGGAGAGTCCCTGGCCCTCTGAGGGCACCGTTGGCACCACAGAACTGCGGGTTCAGCCTTCTGCTCTCTGACATGCCTGCCCTGTCTGCGGTGCCTCTAGGCCCACCAGCATTGGAATCGCTGACGGAGAGTCAGCCCTGCCAGGTTGATGCTGGGACCTGCTGGGGAGGAAAGGAAAGGAGAAACACCGGCCCGATTGTTGGCCATTGTCTCCTCTCTGGTTCCTTTGTCTCGTTAAGAAATACACTATAAGAGCAGGCTCCAGGGCTGGGTACGTGGCTCAGTGAGGACCACAGTTGTGTCCCTAGCACAGCAGGAAGGATCAGACTCTAAAAGCTCACTGCAGACTTTCCTTGGACCAGTGATTGCATCAGTGTTGGAGTGAGGGAGCGTAGAGGGGGAGCTAACAAACTTCTTTCTGCGATGATTGTGGAAACTTCGGGCTCCCTAGGTAGAGAGGCATCATTTGCAGCAGTGCAGCAGCTCATTCTCATTTGTCTGCCTGTTCTCCCTGCAGTTAGGAGCTGGGAGGGATCCTACCTGTTTGTTTCATTGTAGATGCAGCTCTGCCACAGTGCCTGGGAACACAGGGGCACATGACCATATTTAATATAGCCACTCAATACACACTGATTGAATATAGACCCGCCATCCTTGCTTTACACTTCCAAACTCTGAGCCAACACTGCCCTCCTTAGGGTAGTGGTGAGTACCCCAACCTGTCATGTGGGAGAATGGAGTTTAATTCCCAAGAGTTATTAGTGATTTTTAAGGGGTGTGACTCAGGGCACTAGCCTCCCAGAACTACAAAAACTCTGAAACCAAAAGATTTTCTGAAAACCAGAACCATCTCCCTGGCCAGGGAATACCCTGCCTGATTGGATACCAGGCTGCTTCCCATCCTTGTGGGTTTCGCTCAATGGAGATACGCCTCGTTTAATGAAATGGCTGTTCTGTGACCCTTGTACTCACCACTTGCATTTGGACTCATGATACAGGAATGAGAATAGTTGTGCAGCCTATGGTGGCTTTTTCTATGGTATAGTACTGTAATTTTTGCTGATTTACTGTACAGTACTGTAGCTTTTTAATTTTTATTTTATTTATTTATTTTGTCTTTTTGAGACAGGGTCTCATCATGCAGTTCAGGTTGGCCTTGGGCCTACTTTGAAGCCCAGGCTGGTCTCAAACTTGCAAATGATTATCCTGCCTCAGCCTCCCAAATGCTGGGATTACAGGAATATGCCACCATATTTTAGCTATTTCATTTTTATTAGTACATATTATTTTATTTTATTTATTTTTGATGCTGGGGATTGAACTCACCACCTCCCACTTGCCAAGCAGGCACTTGTGCTGCTGAGCTAAATCCCTGGCCCTTATTAGTACATTTTAGATATACATATTGATAACATTCATCATAGGGAATTTGTACCTATACATGCTATATATAATTGTTTTTAATTTTAAAGGGAAAAAAACAGAAAAATCAAGAAACAAACAAATAAAAAGCATCAACAATAGGACCTCGCGCCCACTGGGATCATCAGTCTCACCTTCCTCCTCGCTCCACTGACCTAGAGGCTGCTAGGATCATCGGTTGCACCTCCTCCTCACCCCACTGACTTAGGGGGCCAGCAGGATCACTGGCCTCCTCTTCAACTTGCCCCATGATCTGGAAAACTGGTGGGATCGTTAGTCTCCCTTCCCCCACCAAAAGACTTGCAGTAGCCCATGGACAATTAGCGACCCCTTCCACCACCTACAGAACCTTAATGGGCTGGTAAGAGCCTCACGCACCCTCACCCACACAGAGGACCTCAGAGGGCTTGCAACAGTGTGGTGAGTTTTCCCCTCAAACAGAGGACCTCAATAGGTAAACAGGAGCAGCAATGAACTCCCATCTAGCTGTAGGACCTTGGCAAGGCTGGCAAGAGTGTGGGTGAGTCCTTCTTCCATACAGAGAACACCAGGTGGTGAGGAGAGTGCCAACAAGACCTCCCTCAACCTGGAGGAAATCAAAAGGGCTTATGAGACACCCAGTGACACAGTAGGGTCCCAGCTGAGGTGCACACTATAGCCAGGTAGATCTGGCTGCCTGGAACAGCCTGAATCTGTAGTAACAGTAGGAACTAAGGATTGACACGCATTATTACTCTGAAGCTAGTCAGCCTAAGAAGAGTATAAGACTTGGCCAATAGGCCCTGTAGGAGGAATTCAGGTGACTGGCCCCTCCCCTTCATTGTGGGACCAAGCAATTGGACAAGCATCAACCATACAGTAGGACCCTAAGACACACATGGAGAACAGCTGAGACTAGTGGGATTGAAAAGACCAAAATATTAATCTGAGAGATAAAAATGACAAAATGAAAAGCAAAATGCAATCTCAAACATCTAGTCCATCAGGAGCAAGTAAAGGAGACATCAAAATAGAAGACCTTAGACATCATACACCTGAAAATCCTAAAAAGATAGCAAGTGAAATAAAGAAACAAATCTATGAGGCTATAGAGCAAATCAGACTAGAAATAATCTCTCACATAAAGACATGACAATCTTAATAAAGGAGTTGCTCAGCATAGCTAGAGAAGATATTGATAAAAAAAAAAAAGTACAGGCATATGGGAAAATGATGGGAACTTTGAATGAATAATGAATAATACAGAAAAGAAGTAGAATGCATGAAACAAATTCAAAGAGATATCCAGGAAATAAATTCTATTGAAAGCTGGCAAAACTGTTTGAACAAAGCTAAGGATAGAATTTCGGACCTTGAGGACAGGACCACAGCTAGCAATCATGAAAAGAAAGAACTTTTAAAAATTACGAGACAACCTGAATGACAACTCAACAACTTCAAGAGACACAAAGATAAAAATATAAGATTAATAGGCATCAATGAAGATGCAGAAGTCAATGCAAATGACATCAGTAAACTACTCGCAAAACAATTGTAGAAAATTTCCCAAACATAGGAAAAGAATCAGATACACAGATAAGTGAGGCATATAGGATACCGGTCATAACCAAAATAAATCTACAGTCAGACACATAATAATTAAGATCCCTTAAATCCAACATAAAAACAGAATACTAAAAGCTGTTAGAGAAAAGATACAACTCACTTATCATGAAAAGCCTATTAGAATTCCAGGTTTTGCTGCCGCAACTGGCCATCGGTGTGCAGAGGAGAAGCTGGGCAGATCTGGGGTGCCCTCATTGGCCTCTCTGCATGTCTGGAGGACTCTGGATATCTCCACCCAGACTGTTGGAGTTCCCCCAAGCTTCCAGGTGCAGTGAAGGGGAGAGGTGGGTTTGAGGCTTCCACATCAGCCTCCCCATTCCGGTTACACTTGGAGAACTGCTGAGCTCCCGACCGGTGGGCGGGCCCACACTATCAGCCTAGCCCAGCCTGTTTTGCTGCCGCGCCTGGCCATCTGTGTGCAGAGGAGGAGCTGGGCAGATCTGGGGTGCCCTCATCGGCCTCTCTGCATGTCTGGAGGACTCTGGATATCTCCACCCAGACTGTTGGAGTTCCCCCAAGCTTTCAGGTGCAGTGAAGGGGAGAGGTGGGTTTGAGGCTTCCACATCAGCCTCCCCATTCGGGTTGCACTTGGAGAACTGCTGAGCTCCTGATGGGTGGGCCGGCCCACACTATCAGCCGAGCCCAGCCTGTTTTGCGGCCACGCCTAGCCAACGGTGTACAGAGGAGGAGCTGGGCGGATCTGGGGTGCCTGCATCGTGTATCTGGATGACTGTGGATATCTCTGCAAGCAGGGAGGGACCACAGGTTCCTGAGGCACCGCGGCCTGTGGCGAGTACCCTAACCTGGCTGCGATTGAAGAACTGTGGAGCTTCCAAGGGGCAGGTGGGCACACAGTGTCCCTGAGGCCCAGCTTGTCTGGAACTGCGGAGTTCTGAGCAGGCAGAGGAGGGCCACTGGTTCTGTAGGCCCAATGGCTTGGGGTAGCGCGGTGCCAGAGTCTCAGTAGCTCCAAACATAGAAGGGATTTTCAACAGATCCTGAGGAGGCTTTCAAATAACACTTGAAACACAGAAATACAGGAAAATGACAAAACGAAAGAGCAAATTACAACCTCAAACCTCCAGCCCATCTCAAGAAACCCCAGGAGTGATGTATATAGAAGAAAATATATCCCATCCACCTCATATATCGGACACAATAGCCACTGAAATTGACAAGCAACTCCAGGAAGCTTTAAAGAAATTCAAACTCGAAATAATCTCCCAGATAAAAGAAGAAATGATAAAAGAAATGAAAGAGATTCTAAATATATCTAAAGAAAACACAGATAAAAAATTGGAGGAACTAAACAAAAAGATAGAATCCCTAGACAAGCAATATAAGAAACAAACAGAATACATAATGCAGATGCACAGAGATATACAGGAAATAAAAAACTCCACTGAAAGTTGTAAAAACCGCCTTAATGAAAGTGAAGATAGAATTTCAGACCTTGAACACAGGATTGCAGCTAGTGAACAGGAAAGGAAAGATCTTTTGAAAATAACAAGGAATCAGGAAACAACAATTCAACAATAGCAAGACGATGCAAAGAAGAATAACATAAGAATGATAGGGATTAATGAAAGAGAGGGAGACAACATGAAGGATGTCAGGAGGATATTTAGAGAAGTAATAGCTGAAAATTTCCCAAGCATGAGATCAGAAACTGACATCAGGATCAGTGAAGCATATAGAACTCCAAATAGTCATAACCAAAATAAAACTACACCCAGACATATAATAATCACCATCCCAGAAATCCAACACAAGAATAGATTATTAAAAGCTGTCAGAGAGAAAAGACAGATCACTTATAAAGGAAAACCTATCAAAATCACAGCAGACTTCTCAGCACAAATGATAAAGTCAAGAAGAGCATGGAGTGAAATATTCCAGATCCTAAATCAAAATGATTTCCAACCAAGACTGATATATCCTGCAAAACTATCATTCAAAATAGATGGTGCAATACGATACTTCCATGACAAAGAACAGCTGAAGAACTTCATGAACACCAAACCAACCCTGCAAAAAATATTGAAAGACAGTTTAGATACACAAAGGAAAAAACCACTAAGCAAAGCAAATAATTAAACAGAACAGAAAGATGAAGATGCAACAGCAGAGAGATAACATTCCTACAATTAACCAGCATTTAATAGTAATAACCATTATTGTAAATGGTCTCAATGCACCAATCAAAAGAAACAGACTAGCAGAATGGATCAAGAAACAAAATCCAACCATATGCTGTTTACAGGAAACCCATCTAACCCAGAAGGATACTCACAGACTGAAAGTCAAAGGATGGAAAACAATTCTTCATGCAGCAGGAATCCAAAAAAAGGCAGGAGTAGCCATTCTGTTCGCAGACAATGTGAACTTTAAACCAACAATGACCATAAAGGACAAAGAAGGTCACTACATACTCGTAAAGGGAAAACTCCAAGAGGAAGAGATAACTATCTTAAATATATACGCACCAAACTCCAGAGCACCCAGTTATATAAAACAATTATTAACAGAAATGAAAACTCAAATTATCAGTAACACAATTGTAACAGGAGACCTTAAAACACCACTGACACCAAGGGACAGATCAACCAGACAGAAAATGAGCAAAGAAATAACAGAACTGAATCACACCTGTGAACAAATGGGTTTGATAGACATATACAGAATGTTCCACACAACAACATCAGAATACACATTCTTCTCAGCAGTACATGGATCATTTTCTAAAATAGACCATATATTAGCTCACAAAACATATTTAAGCAAATGCAAAAGAGTTGAAATCATCCCTTGCATATTATCGGATCATAGCGCTCTGAAATTAGAAATTAATGACAAAAGATACTGCAAAAATTCCGCAAACACATGGAAACTGAATAACACACTCTTGAGCAATCAGTGGGTCACAGAAGAAATTAAAAAAGAAATTAAACAATACCTAAAAGAAAATGAAAATGCAGATACAACTTACCGGAATCTGTGGGATGCAATGAAAGCCATCCTGAGAGGAATATTTATTGCACTGAGTTCCCACATCAGGAAAACAGAACGAATACAAATAAATAACTTGATGCTACACCTCAAACAGCTAGAAAAAGAAGAGCAAGTCAAGCCCAAAGCCAAAAGAAGAGAGGAAATTATAAAAATCAGAGCAGAAATCAATGCAATAGAGACTAAGAAAACAATCCAAAGAATCAACGAATCAAAGAGTTGGTTCTTTGAAAGAATAAATAAAATCGATAAGCCCCTAGCCAACCTTATTAAAAAAAAGGGAAGAAAAAGCTCAAATTCATGCAATAAGAAATGAAAAAAGAGAAATCACTACAGACCCAATAGAAATACAGAGGATCATCAACACCTATTTCGAAAACCTCTACTCTCAAAAGTTTGATAACACAGAAGAAATAGACAGATTCTTAGAAGCATATGAAGTACCAAAGCTAGATCAAGAGGATGTAAAACTGTTGAATAACCCAATCTCTGCTAATGAACTTGAAAATGTAATTAAGTCCTTACCCACCAAGAAGAGCCCAGGCCCAGATGGATTCACTGCAGAATTCTACAAGAAATACAAAGAAGACCTAATGCCGACACTCCTCAAACTATTCAATGAAATTGAAAGGGAAGCAATCCTTCCTAAGTCATTCCTGGAAGCAAATATTACTCTAGTACCAAAACCTGAGAAAGACCCAACTATAAAAGAGAACTATAGACCGATCTCCCTAATGAACACAGATGCAAAAATCCTCAATAAAATATTGGCAAATAGGATCCAGCAAATCATCAAGAAGATTATACACCATGACCAAGTGGGATTCATCCCAGGAATGCAAGGATGGTTCAACATACATAAATCAATAAATGTAATCCACCATATCAATAAAGCCAAAAATAAGAATCACATGATCATTTCTATAGATGCAGAAAAAGCCTTCGATAAGGTCCAACACTTATTCATGATAAGAACTTTACAGAAAATTGGAATAAATGGTCTTTACCTCAATATAATAAAGGCCATTTATGACAAACCAACAGCCAGCATCATACTAAATGGCCAAAAATTGAAAGCCTTTACTTTAAAATCGGGCACAAGACAAGGATGTCCTTTATCACCACTCCTATTTAATATAGTACTGGAAGTACTAGCCAGAGCAATTAGGCAAGAAAGAGAAATAAAAGGGGTAAAGATAGGAAAAAAAGAAGTTAAATTATCATTGTTTGCAGATGACATGATACTCTACATAGAAGACCCCCTAAACTCCATTGAAAGACTCTTAGATACAATAAATAAATTCAGTAATGTGGCTGGATACAAAATCAATACTCAGAAATCAATAGCATTCCTATACACGAACAACAAAATCACAGAGAGGGAAATAAGAGAAACTGGACTATTCACATTAGCAAGCAAAAAAATGAAATATTTAGGAATTACTCTTACGAAAGAAGTGAAAGACTTATACAGTGAAAATTATAATACACTGAAAAAAGAAATTGAAGATGATCTCAGAAAATGGAAAGACATCCCTTGCTCATGGATAGGAAGAACAAACATTGTGAAAATGGCCATTCTCCCAAAACTGTTATACAGATTCAATGCAATCCCAATAGAAATACCATCAACATACCTTATAGATCTAGAGAAATCACTCCTAAATTTCATCTGGAACCAGAAGAGACCTAGAATCACAAAGGCAATTCTAAGCAGCAAAGACAAAGCAGGAGGCATCACAATCCCTGACTTGAAGTTATACTACAAAGCAACAGTAGTAAAATCAACATGGTATTGGAATCAAAACAGAGCTGAAGATCAATGGAATAGATTAGAAGATACAACCACAACTACAAACACACTCAACCACCTTATCTTTGATAAAGGAACCAAGCAGGTTCACTGGAAGAATGACAGTCTCTTTAATAAATGGTGCTGGAAAAACTGGCTCTCCATTTGCCGAAAACTAAAGCTAGACCCATGTCTATCACCATGTACTAAATTAAAATCTAAATGGGTCAAAGATCTGAATATTAAAACACAAACACTAAATCTATTGGAAGACAAATTAGGTAGTAACCTTGGAGACATAGGAGTAGGTAAAGAATTCATGAACAGGACTCAAACCGCACGGGAAATACTTCCCAGAATCAATAACTGGGACCACTTCTTATTAAAAAGTTTCTTCATGTCAAAAGAAATCTCCAGCATAGTGAAAAGAAACCCACAAACTGGGAAAAGATTTTAGTGAACTCTCTCTCAGACAAGGGCCTCTTGTCTAAAACATATAAAGAATTAAAGAAACTCAGACCTCCAAAATTCAAAGATCCAATCCAAACATGGGCATCTGAGATGAATACGCAATTCTCAGATGAAGAAATGCAAATGGCAAATAAATACATGAAAAAATGCTCATCATCATTGGTCATTAGAGAAATTCAAATTAAAACCACACTGAGATACCATCTCACTCCTGAAAGAATGGCCAGGATCAAGAAAACCAACAACAAATGCTGGAGAGGCTGTGGGGAAAAAGGAACTCTCCTGCACTGCTGGTGGGAGTGTAGACTGGTACA